TGAACTAGTGAGCCAATGTCCAAGCCCTCAGGCCACACCAATGCAGTATCCAATGTCACCCCTACTGTATGGCGCCCAGTGCCCAGTCTACTTTACTCAGTCTATCTATCCTATCTACATTCATGCAACAGGCTCACTTTGCAGTCGAAGATCAATGCACATGACGTCGATACCAATGTCGACCTCCCACATACACCAGGTACGTCCTCTCGTCTCCCCTCATCAGACCCTGTCCACCCACTCATGCGCCCCCTTCCTGAAGACCACCGTCGTCCGTCACCTGGCCGCGCCCCTGCAGCCTAGCTATGGCCGCTAAGCGCCTCGCTGCCCGGCTATGGCCGCTAAGCGCCTCGCTGCCCTGCAGCGCCCCACTTCACCTCATAGCGCCGGCACGCGCCACAGCCAGCAGCGCTAATGCAGACACTTGCACAGCGTTGCAGCAGCGTGTCCGCATCGCCTGTCTAGGCCAGCATGCCTTCCCCTGGCCGGCCTCCTCCCTATATGGGAGTAGCTGCCCTACTGGGCTGCCTGGGCCTGGCCGAGGAAGTTTCCAGTAGCTTCCGGTCGGGCCCCAGTGTCTGCGCCCAGGCCCATTCCTACAAGCATATAGGGATGCATCCTGAGTCTGGCGACCGTGTGCCCTGTCGCTTCACGTTGTGCCAAATGTCTGCGCCCATGCCCAACGTGCGACGTGGCTGACGTCACTTGCTGCGTCCTGATAGGCCGAGAGGCCTGCTTCCACGTCGAGCCTGGAAGGGTCTAGAAGGGTCAGGATGTTTGTCACGGTTGCATAGCGGGGGCTGGGCCCTTCAACCAACTGGCGCCCAGTAACCATCTGAAGCCCCCATAGGCCCTGGAAATGTCAAAATTTAGGCCTCTTGAAGAGATGCAGGCCCGCCTTCACTCAGGGCGGGCACAATGCTTGCAGTGGGGCCCCTTAAGGACAAGTACTGCAAATGCAAGAAACCACTGTCTTCACCCGAATAGAACATACGGCCATTATCGCTGTAACTACTAAAAGCTGCCCCAAATACAGCTATCACGGCATATATTTTATTCGGGTGAAGATGGTAGACTAGCCGTGCTGATCACACCAGAAACTGAGATTTCGTTAAAGCTAACTTTTTTTTCTTTGTTTCGTTTACAAAATTGTTTGTGGTTGAAACTTGAAAATGAAGTTATGAATGATTTTTGCCACTGCGCTTCATGTTTATGGTCTCTTTTGTTTTGCCTGGTGTTTCCTCTACGACCATCGAGCCAGCTTGTGCTCGGCGGCTTTTTCTGTTCGTCGTGTACGTCTTATCTCCCATATCTTTTTCATCTCATGTCGTATGCACAGTCTTGGTGTCGGGCGATATCCATATCTATGCCTTTCTTTGTCTTTAAATTTGGGAGGGTGGTGTCTATCGTAGACATCACCCTAAACCCAAAACCCTAAAATTAAGAAGGTTGAAAAAAGAAAAAAAAAAGAAAAAAAAAAAAAAAAAAAAGAAGGTCGCAAAGAAGACAACAGAAATCATCCCCGGCAAGCATGTTTGTACAAAGACAGTGGGGGAGAAAAGACGATTGAAGGAGGATCAGCCTAACCCTTGTGGCACAAGCTGCCTGAGCAAGGGGGGACAACTTCTGTGCACCCCACCCCCAAACCTTTGGCCCTCGCACAGTGGATTGCCCTACTGGCCGGGAGGCTTACTAGCAGCACACACAGTAGATGGCCCTGCTCAGGCAGTCCCTGAGGGCCCTGGGGGACTTGGCACGGTGGATGGCCCCGCTCAGGCAGTCCCTGAGGCCGCTTTTTTACCAATCATCAACTGTTTTTTTGCATGTCAATCCCGCCTTGCCTACCGGTAGTATCCGCACAGGCAATTCTCAGAACAGTCCTTTTTTTTTGTTTTTGAAATTTTGATTATGTTTCTCCTTTCCTTCYCCCCCCCCCCCCCTTCTTTCGTCCCCTCCCTAATTTGGACCATTTCTCAGTTTATGTGTGTCATCCTTGCAAAGGAGCCCTGATGCTAATCTGCTCTAACTCTATCGTTCCAATTTTCACCAATGTAGCTAAGGACATTGTCAGAACAGTACTTCTCCGTGTTCTGACAGCACTTTTGTCAGTATTTTGTCAGGGAAGGGTCCCACACAAGGAAGCCTCTGGCCATGACCAGCCCACGAGAATGAGCGGTGACACACATGACAGATCACAAGTTCGAGTCCTGGTAGTCCATGAAAGAAACAAAAAAAAAAGGGAAAAAAGAAAGAAAAGACAAGGCCGCCTTCGCGACATCCGTTAAAATTGGAACGATACAGACACACACACGGGGAGAGAGAGAGAGAGAGAGAGAGAGAGAGAGAGAGAGAGAGAGAGAGAGAG